CCGTGGTATGTCCTCCTTGCTCACCTTGCTCACCCTCAGACTCAGTTTCTGTGTCCAGTGCCATGCTGGGACTCCCGGAATGGCTCTGTGGATGTGGGTTTTATGGGTGTAACACGCTCTCCTTGCCCACTTCACCTTTTTTACCCTGAATTCCACTTTCTCAGGTGTTAGTACTAGGACACACCTGCTTGAGCCCCGCCTGCGCCCTTCCTGTGTGCTTTCCCATCACTTTGCCGTAGGGGGTCCGTTGTGGAGTCCACGCTTCTGCAGGACTGCAGTCCACCCATTCTGCTGACACTGTCCCGGCCAGCTCTGCCCAGGACACTCTGTGAGGCAGTTGTCACAGGCACTCACAGCTTCCCTGGACGAGCCAGGGCCCAGGGCGACAGTCTGCTGTATCAGCCCTGGACAGCTCCTGCTGACCGTGGGCCAGAACCAGAGTTCGGCGGCGTGGACTCCAGGCTTTGCATGTGGGGGTCCCAGCGCAAGGAGCATGTCAGTGGTGGGACACCCAAGGCTCTCTGTGGGAGAAAGTGCCCAACCCACCAACCCGAGTGGGTTCTCCACCCACCCACCCACTGCAGGGATGGGCCCAGGCAGTTCCCAAAGCCTGTGGGCTGCACCACACCCCTTTCCTCACGTTCAGAGAGTGCCTCGACGGCTCACTGCCTTCTTAGCAGTTTTCCCCCTTCAAGGTACAAGGCCGGTAATGTCCAGCCCGTGATCGCACTGTGTGCCTTTGCAGTGTCATCCCGCAGCAACCAGGTGAAGCGGGCACCAGCTCTGGGATGCTTCTTAGGAGGGCAGGGCCTACAGTGAGCTCAAAAAACTAATCACAACAAAGAAGGCTGATAGAATATAAAATTAAAGAAACAGCTCCCAGGGGTTAAAAAGCTGGAGTGCGCGGTGGAGAGCACTCTGTCTGGGGGCTGCAGGGAAGCTGTAGACGCGAAGATTAGAGAAGCCCCGGAGACGGTGCTCTCCCGGGCTACCCCAGCCGCCGCAAGATCTTCCCCTGCCCCAGCAACAGCCCGGCCCATCAGAAACCGTCACTAGGAGGCCTTCCATCGCCTCAAGCGGATTTTCCCTCGGAGCAACCCCCGCCCCGCAGAGCGGCTGTCCTGTGCGCTGTGCATCTGCCTGCGGTTTCGTCCCGAGCGCGCGCCCCGAGTGTCCATTTCGGGCTCGTCTCCATAAAGCCCTTCGGCCGGGGAAGAAGCTGGCCCGCAGCTGTCACTTTGCTCCGGGGCTTTGGTAACCTCCTCCCCGAGCTCAGCGGTCAGCCCGGAACACACCCTGCACCCCGTGCACCCGTCTCAGCGGCCTGGGGCTCCGCAGGCCCGGCCGGATGGACTCTGGGCTGCCTGGGGTCCTGTTTCTTTCTAAAGGCTCTAGATCTCCTTGGACCGGCGGCCATTGTGCCCCCTTCTCCGAGTGCGAGGCGATGGGCCTGCCCTGGGGTGGGGGGGGGCACTGGCTGTCACCGCCCGACATCGGCCCCTGTTGTTCCCTTCCTGGGAGTGGATCCCACGGGGTGGCCGCCAGCTCCCTGGGCATGTCTCCCCTTCTGCTCTCTCCAGGCAGACCTGGTCATTCCTTTGTCTTCGTGTCTCCCTAGATGGAGGCGGCCCAGGTCCTGCCCCACCCCCCCACCCCGGGGCCTCTCTGGGGGGTGGTGGGCAGCCCGTCTCCACACCCTCCCCTCCCCCACGAAAGTCAAAGTTGAGCCGCCCCCAAGCGGAGTCTGGAGGCTGGCAGGTGCCCTGGCACTCCCTGCAGTTCCAGGAAGCATGGCCGACCTCGGACCCCACAGAGCCACCCCCGCAGGAGACAATCACCAGGGACGGCCCCAACCGCGAAGTTCTCAGGATCTCCTGCAAGAAGCCAGCCACCCCCGCCGCCCGGCTAAGGAGAAACTGAGAAACCGCCGTCAGCCTGAACCCTTGGTTTCTGCAGCGGACGCTGGTTCAGAACAACCTCCCAACTTCCTCCTCCTTCCGCACAAAATACGTCCCTCTTCCTCGCTGGACCTGCCTGCGGTCTTGCCAGAGCTTGCGTGTCCCAAACGGAAATTCTCTGCCATTCCTAGAGCAACTAGGAATGATCTAGATCATTCCTAGAGCAACTCATTAGTGCTGATCAAGTACCGGGCTGTTTTATGTTGAAGGTTAACACCTCCTTTCCTCCTGCTTCCTGTGGGCTCTGGGAACTGCAACGTCTCCCCCTTCATTTTCCTCCCCGGGAGCCAGGGGACCAGACCCGACCTCCTCTCCCCCCACCCCTCCCCCTCAACCAGACCCTGGCTCGTTCTTCGCCGGTCTTGAGAGTGGACTGGGGGAACAGGGAAGCACCATGGGGACTCGGGTACTGGGTGCATCTGGGTAGGGGGCTTTCCGTGACCCCCAAGAGCAGGTGTTTGTGCCTTGTTGGCGTGGCAGGCAGCCACCAGACCAAATGTGGGTCAGGGTGAATCCTTGGCTGGCGCTGCATGGGGGCAGGGGAAGTTCGTCAAAACCCCAACAGTGTTGTCCTGGCTGGCACAGTAACCAATGTCCCTGGCTTAAGCTTGTGGGTTAGCCAGAAAAGGAACGTTTAAAATGAGCCCAAAAAAAAAAAAAAAAAAGCACATTCACTTCCAGCTTGGGATGGCAGGCGGGGTAAGCCCCAGCAGGGGTCAAGGGGCCGGCCCTCCTCCAAGAGGCGGTCACAGCTGGTAAGGGGGCAGGAGTGCCTCCCTCCAGGGCTTCTGCAGAGCTGCACCCAGGGCCCAGGAGGCGTGGGTAGGTTCCAGTGGGTGCTGGAAGGGGCCTCCTGGTGGGGGCTGCATGAGGAGGTGGCCCAACGGGGGTTTTGGGAGGAGTGATTCAGCTGAGCCTTCAAGAGGGTGTGGGGGGAGGGGACAGGGAAATGGATCAGAGGGACGGGGTGTGTACATTGGGGGCTGCCGAGGGGGGCGGTCTGGTAGGGGCCGCATGGGGAGGGGGGCCAAGGGACGGAGCTGCGGGGGGGTGGCAATCCAGTACAGGCTGGGGTGAGGTGGGGGGCCAGACAGAGGGCCAGAAAGGGCTGCTGCGAGAGAGGGGATGGTCCAGTGGGCGAGGCTGTGGGCGAACAGGGACAGGGGATGACCCATAACGGGCTGCGGAGCGGAGAGCGGGTGCCGGGGGTACGGTCCAGTGGGGGCTGCAGCCCGGGGGGGTGGGGGAGGCGGTCCAGTCCACGGGGGGCTGCACGGGCGGCAGGGGAGGGGAGCGAGGGACAGTCAGTGGTGGCTGGGGGCCTAGTGGGGCGGCAGGTGGGCGACCCAGCAGGGGACTGGGGGCCTGGCGGAGGTGGGGAGACCTCCAGACCTGGCTGCACAGGGGGCGGTGTCGGGAGGGGCGGTCCCGTGGGGCTGAGGCCGGGCGGGCAGACCCTCCGCGGGTACACTAGGCCCCGCACTGCGGCGCCCCCGCCCGCGCCACGAGGCGGCCGCGTGACCGAGGTGGGGGGGCGGCGAGGGGTCGGGCGGGGGCGGGCGGAGCGCGGGCGGGGAGGTTAGTGCTCGGGCGGGGGCGTGGTCGGGGGCGTGTCCGGGGCGGGGATTCGCCGCTTTTCCCGGCAGCGCCCGCGGCCACGGGTCACCGTGTGCGCCGGGAAGGCGCGTGCGCCGGGTCCCGGTGGGTCCCCTGCGCCACCGCCCGTGCGCCCCGAGGAGCGGACGCCTGCCGCCCAGGTACTCCACGAGGCACGCGCGGGGGGCTGCGGGGTGCTTGCGAGGTCCTTGCGAGGTCCCGGGCCGCGCGCCGGACGCTCAGGGCGCGGGCGCGGTCCGCGCGTGCCGGACGCACCCTGGGCGCACGGTGACCCGTTCCTCCCGGCGCTGGCCGTGGGTCCCGCGTGCAGCGCCCCACCCTCGCCTCCGCGCGTGCAGGGAGGGACTCGGGCTTCGCCCGCCTGATGCCCCCGGACGCATTTCTCCCCGGGGCTCGCGGTGCGCGCCGCTCAGAACCCTTCCTGTCACTTCCGCAAGGTCCAGCTAGTTGGGGTCTGAGGGCCGCCCCGACCCTCGCCCATCACCGTCGGACTCCGCGTCCCTTAGGCGGGATGGGCAGAACCGCGTGGACTCGGTGCTGGCGCCCCGGCCCCGTGTCGCGGCACATCCATCCCGAAGCACGTGTTCCTCGGGCGGGAAGGCTGGGGATCCCCGGCCCACCCACCCGACCCGGGGAGCCCTGGGCGCGCCTCCCAGTCCCGTGCCGGGCCCATTTGTCTCCCAGCCAGAGCTGGAGGCGCGGCTGGCGCGGAGAGTGCTGGAGATTGCCTGGGAACCCCGCGCTGTGCTGCAGCCCTCTCCTGAGTGGACCCGACACCTCTGCAGGAGGAAATTATCCCCAAAGGTCCTGTCTGCTTTCCACGCTTGTCCCGGAGAGTCCGCGGCCTTGGCGCCGGCGCGCGCGGTGTGCTCATGAGGTTCTTTACAATCTCGGGGTGCCCAGCCCCAGCCGGCTGTGTGAGAGCAAAAGTTGGAATCTGAGCCAGCTCAGAAATCCGGAATGCGCCTAGAAAAAGCTGTTTTCCATTCTGCTCAAAGCGCAGGTGGGATTTTGGAGCTGCCCCCTGCTTCCTGGGCAAGTGGCTGGTGTTTCCTCTCTGCAAGCGACCAGCGAGGGCCCTCCTGCATCCCTCTGCGGGCCTGGGAGCCCAGAGCTCATGGTTGGGGTTCCCGGATGGTGTCCCACCCCCAACCCCGTGCCCCCCCACCCCCCACCCCAGACTGCCTTGCTCACTCCTGACTTGGTGCTACTAGTTCCTTTCTTTTGGAGGGGGCTTTGCGGGATGTTAATAACTCCAGACACTCCAGTTCCTGCTGCTGGGCAAAGCTGATCACTTCCCACGTGTTTTAAACTTGAGGGTTGAGTGTCTACAGCAGTGATGGCTGGGGGTTAACTTTACTCTTTGGAACAGGGAACTGTGTCAGGTGGTTTGGGGGAAGGGTGCAAGGGTTCTTCGTTTTCATTAAGAAGGTAATGAAACAGCCTTGTTAACCTGGGAGAGTGGTAGCTGGTTTAAAACCCAGGACACATGGTGTTTGGTTTTGGGTCTCTGGGGTAACTAGGTCCTGAAGGAACCAGCAGCTGGTGCTCCACACTACCCCCCCCCACCCCCACCCCAGGACAGGTGCTGGAGGGCTGTGAGGAGGGGTCCATGTGGAACTGCCAGAACCTTCTCTGGGAGGCACGTGATGGGGTCCTTTGCTTGCCCTGAGGAGGCCTGAGGTTGCCTGGTGTTGGCTGGGGTCAGCACACTTGTGGTCCAGGCCAGTCCTCTTGTCTGTCACCTGCCCAAAGCGTGGGCACCTCATTTGCCGTCTGGGCTGCCCGTGAGCGTGTGAGGGGGCCTTTCCACCTTCCCCGCCTGGAGTGCGAGCCTGGGAAGGGCCTCTGTGTTGAGAAGAGCAGTCTGTGTTTTCCAGAGAGGACTTTGAGTCATAGCGGCAGTGGCCGGCCTCCTGTCAGGGTTGGTGACTACCCCCAGCTCAGGTGAGTGGAATAAAGAGACCCAGGGCAGCCGAAGTCCACTTCGGCTGGGGACACAGGCGGGGCCCCAGGCTGGCTGCCCAGACGGCTGGTTTCTGGGTGGGTCAGCCCTTTTCTTTGAACCTGAGTCCCTGCACAGCGGCCTCTCTCTGGGGAAGCCAGGAGCCAGGGCTGTGCCCGGGGCCCTCATACACCCTGGTACTGGGGTGCCCCGCGTTTCTTCTGCAGTGGCCGCTCTTAAAAAAGGAGTTCGAATCAGACTCTGGAGTTTTAGCCCATTTCTGTGCGGGTGCTGCTGCTCCAGGGGTGGGGCCATGTTCCTCCGTGGCCTTGTCGGGCCTGGCTCTATTCAGAGGGACCTGTTGTCCAGCCCGTTTCAGAAGTCTCGGTGTTGACAAAGTGTGGAATATGAGCCTCAGAAATATACATTCCAGAGTGGCCTTGGGCCTCATGACCCCAGGCTGTCATTCAGATAAGCTTATCACTCACTGCCTCCCCTTGCTCTGCTGTGGCCTGCCCTGCTCACCCTCGAGGCCCGCCTGTCCGTTCTTCTGTGACACCAGCTAGGGGCACTCGAGCTGCCAGGGCTGACCAGAGGTCCGCTGTGCCACATGTGTGCTGCCGTGGGACCTCTTCTCTCGGGAATCTGGGGGCTGCCTGTGCGGGGGCCCCAGGATGGGGACCACCCCCACCCCGAGTTGGAGGAGGGGCAGGGTTTTTTTTCTTTCTTTTTTTTTTTTTAAGATTTTATTTATTTATTTGTCAGAGATCACAAGTAGGCAGAGAGGCAGGTGGTGACAGAGGAGGAAGCAGGCTCCCTGCCGAGCAGAGAGCCCGATGTGGGGCTCGATCCCAGGACCCTGGGATCATGACCTGAGCTGAAGACAGAGGCTTTAACCCACAGAGCCACCCAGGTGCCCCAAGGGGCAGGTTTTCTAAATAGCGCCCGGGAAGAATGTCTGAAGCAGAAACGCAAATGCCCAGTTTTGAAGGGATGCACTCAAGGGTCTGGTACCTTCTGTGCTTCTTGCGTTTTCTCTGCCATTTCTGGTGTGGGCCAGGGTGAGGCTGGGCTGGCCGTGGGGCCGCAAACGCGCTCTTTGTCCAGGGTGAGCATTTCCGTTCATAACCTTGGAGAGTGGGTCGGGCGCCTGGGCAGAGGAGAGCTTAAGTCCCCCTTTCCAGTGGGTGTGCAGTGGGTGGGAGACTCCTCCTGGGCACCAGAGACCTGGGGTGCACTGGCCCTGCGGGGGGTGGGGGGCCAAGCTAGCTAAGGGGCTGCAAGTGTGAGTGAACACAGCGTGGTCCCCAAGGTGCGATGCGTGTGAGCCCGGGGCTCCATGAACTGTGGGGACACGGGGCCCTCAGCTTCAGGTGCTTGAAGAGCAGGCAGCCACAGAGGCTTGGGCGCCTCCCCCACAGCTGGGGGTCTCTCCACTCCTACCATTATAAACAGGGTGGGGGGGCTAGGTTGTCCAGCTTGCACCCCGCACTGGGCAGTGTTCCCAGATTTCAGGCATGGAGCTAGGGGATAGGCTGGGAAGGAAGGGGCTCCCTGAGACCCTGTCTCTGCAGACGCTCCCCCTAGCCTGGGAGCTCCCAGGCCAGCCCCTGGGGCGGCTCCTTGCATGCCCGTCCTTCTGGGGTTTGGGGCTGTTGTTACCCTGGAGGACTCCTGGGAGCCCTTCCGAGCAGTGGTCAGGCGGCGGCTTGCCACACCCCCCGGGGGCACTGGATGTGGAGCTCTGCACGTCCAGCCAGGAGTCCTGAGGCAGCGTCCCCTGCAGGTGCTGCGCTGTTCCACCTGCTCAGACATGCCTGTGGGATGTGTTAAGGTGCAGAGTCCTGGGCCATGACCCAGACCTTCAGATAGCTGCAGCGGGCAGAGCCCAGAGTGGGAGTTTCTGGCAGTTCTCAGCGTAGCGTACGAAGCACTGCTTCTCGGTTTCGGAAGCTGTAGGAGTCCAGGATCCAGAGCAGAAAACATTAACGTGTTTGGTGCTGGTGTTTGAAATTTCCACTACTGCCCCAGGACTCGGGGACACCAGGTGAGGGAAGTTCCTGTTGCTTGTGGAGGTGACACCTTTTGAACAGGAGGACTTGGCCCTTTTGAACAGGAGGGCCAAGTCCTCAGGGCTCCTGATCCCCTGGGGGCAGGGGCGGGGCAGGGGCGGGTGGGGACCCACTCCCAGGGACCCTGGGCTCAGGTGGCTTCTCAGCTGCTCACCCCGAGCTGGAGAGCTTACCTGGCCGGCAGCCAGGGAGTGTACCTGAGAGTAGGAGAGTGAGCTGGAGGGGAGTCTGAGCGCTTGGGTGGGTCCCCGGGAGTGCACCCCGACGTGGGAGTGGTTCTGCCTGTGGCAGGCCCTGGGGCCCTCCCATTCGTTTTTTTTGTTTCTTTTTTAAAAAAAATGTATTTATTTATTTGACAGAGATCACAAGCAGGCAGAGAGGCAGGCAGAGAGAGAGGAGGAAGCAGGCTCCCCGCCGAGCAGAGAGCCTGGTGCGGGCCGATCCCAGGACCCTGGGATCACGACTTGAGCCAAAAGCAGAGGCTTTAACCCACTGAGCCACCCGGGTGCCCCCCCTCCCATCCGTTTATGCAAGCTCCCAGTGGGTTTGGGAAAGCACGTACCGGAGCCTGCCTTCAGGAACCCTTGGCCTGTGTCCCCAATGCAACAGTTTCCCGCAGGGGCAGTTGGGGGTGGGTGGGGGCAGTGGAAGCTGCAGCTCCCCAGCCTGGCCGATGGTTTCATTTGGCCTCTTGGGAGCACTGAAGGGCATTAGCCCAGGACATTATAACTCCCGTGACCATCCTCTCTCCCACATCAGTCGCTCCCTTAGAAACCCTGGCATTCCCGCAGCTACGCCTCCCCTCTGCCCTGCCGTTCCTTGTCGCACCCACAAAGAGACCCACAGCCTGTCTTCTTCAGGGCTTCACTGCTGTCCCTTCGTTGTCCCTGCGTCACAGAAATAAGCACAGATGCTTAGATGGTGGGAACACTTCTGCTCTTTGGGCCACACAGCTCACTTCGCTGAGGCCCCAGCCCTGGTGTGGGGGACTCCGACTGCTGTCCATGGTCCTGGGTGGGGAGGGCGTCCTCGGCAGTCCCCCGGCTTTTCTGGGCCTCATCCTGGGAGGAGTGGCGGGGGGTGGGGGGCACTTCCTGCTTGGACAGTCTCGAGCTACCTGTGTTGGGAATCTGGTGGCTATTCCTCGGGGTCCCTGGATCCCGCATCTCCACCAGGCTGGCCCCACATCTTGGGAACTTTTTGTGCCCACTGCTGGGAACTGGAGAGGGTTTCTCCACGGATCCAGACCCTCTACAGTCACCCTCTGTGAACAGGCCGTGCAGGAATGAGCGCAGAGCTGTCCCAGCACCTTTCAAACTAGCCACCCTTCTGCTCTCAGAGCACCCCTGCCTCACCTGAGCCACAAATCCCCTTGCACTGGCCCCCTTCTTCACCTGACACAGTTGACGGCTGCTAGCTTTTGACTCATTTAAAAAAGAACTTTGTATCAGTGCCATAAACACAAAAGCCATATCCCTTGACACACAGAAACATAGTAACAAAGATAAACAGTGGAACCCGGTAGGTAGATCTGACTCCCTGCTCCTCTCTGTTAGGTGTAGTAGGATTGGGAAGGGTGGGAGCCCTCTGGACGGAGCATTGTCCCCGTGTGACCTAGCGGTCTAAACTAGTGCTGCTTCTAGCTCTGCCCAGAGTGCCCCTGGGTGAGGCTGCCCTTGGGGAACACATGCCTCTGGCTGCTTCTCTTTAGGGGGGCCTCAGGGGCTGCCAGGGTCAGAAGCCTTAAGGTCTGGGCCTCTGTCCCATATACTGTCCTTTTGCCGCCCCCAACTCCCCGCGGCTCCTGTGTCTCCCTTTGCCCTCCTCAGCAGCAGTCAGCTTTGCCAGAAAACCCCATCTGCCATGTCCCCCAGTCTTGTGCCTGGAGTCCCCCCACCAGAGACCGACGGGACGGCACTCCCAGGCTGCACTTGGGGCCACCAGCCACCCTCACTGTGTGCCTGGCGTCCTGGCAGGACCCTTCCAGCCCGCATGCTCTGAGCCGTCTTGGGGCCAGGTGACACTGTGGTAGCTCTGGCTGGGTGCCGTGTTGCCAGCTGCTCCCCTGGGGCCTCTCCTGGGGAGGGACATGGGCCCACGGCCACAGCCACCCACTGTGAGCTCGTGGGAGGAGTTTGGGTGCCTGAAGGATGGGGCTTTAAGTTGTGTTTGGTTTGAGTTGATGGATACTTAAGGTGAATTACAGGGTGCAGCAATCTTGGTCTCCTGGTGGTGGTGACTGCCTGGGCTGGCTGGGCCAGATGTCTGGGCTGTGACACGCGCCAGGCCTTTCTCGGGGCTGGGGCCCCCTCCCCGTGTGGACGTTGTGTCCCAACCACGTGAGAGAGCCCTGAGGTTTGTGGGGAGGAGGCATGGGGTCCGAAAGCTGTTGGTGGAGCTGCCCTGAGCCCGTGCTCATCTTTCAGGAGCGCCATCGTCTCGTCCGGGGCAGCCGGGGGGCCGGGCAGCATGGTGCCCTCCGGCCAGGTGGTGAAGAAGCAGGAGCCCGTAGAGCCAGGGCCGGACCCGGAGCTCAAGTCCTGGAGGTGCCTGGTGTTCTACCTGTGTTTCTACGGCTTCATGGCGCAGTTGCGGCCGGGGGAGAGCTTCATCACACCCTACCTCCTGAGCCCCGATAAGAACTTCACTCGGGAACAGGTGCGTGGGCTCCCTGGCCTAGAGTGGCTGAGCCTGCAAGGTTAGGTGGGTGGCGGTGTGGTGGGAGGGGTCCTGCCCTCTGCCCTCCCTCCCCCCCCGGGCACCTTCACGCAGGGGTGGGGGGCGGATTTGGACTGCTAAGCAGGCTGGTTGAGGAGTGACGGCAGGCCACAGAGGGGTCCGTGTCTGCTGAGGGTCGGAGGGAAGAGTGCGCAGAGGGGGGGCACCCCGTACCCCCCCCACAGGGGCTCACGTGGTGGGAGACCTCCAACAGCCATTTGCCCGAAGGGACCTGGAGGGATTGACTTGGCAGAAGGATGAAGATCTCCTGGTTGGAACTTGGGTAACCGTTTCTACCCCGGGGCGGTAGAGGTGGGAAAGCAGTCTTCTCCCCAGAGCTCTCCTTATCAGGAGAACAAAAGAGCCGAAGGGCTGTTGGTAGATAAAACGTGCCGTCAGGCCTTCGGTTCGGGTGCAGCCTTCTCTCTGAGCCTGGGTCCCGCCCTGCTCCTCCTGCCCCAGTCCCAGGCTGGCGCTGCCCTGTGCTCCCTGTTCTGGCCCAGCCCGTGGCCTCAGGCACTGTCCCCTCCAGCGCGTCACTGTGGCCAGGTGGTTGGGTCCCACTGAGCCGCGGGCTTTCTCTGGGAGCCTGGCCTTTCTCCCTGACTGAGAGCCTGACCCCTTCCCCTTGCGGACCTTAAGAATTCTTAAAAGTCACCTGGAGTCGCTGTGCACGTGAGGCCTGACCCGACCTGCCTCGGGTGGGGGCCGGGCCCGCAGTGGCTGGTGTTGTGGCCTCTCTGGCTTGTGTCTGCCCCGGGCGTGCGAGTGGGGTTAGGACGGCTTCTGCGGCGTGTCCCCGCTGGGCTGACAGGGGACACTTGTCCACACATGTCCAGGCTGCCCTGACCTCAGTGCACTCTAATGCTTGAACTGGTGCTTTGATAGCGTCTGTTAGCCCTGAGGGAAATCTGCTGCAGGTGTCCTGGGCACTGCCATGTGCGGGCCTGGTGTCGCCGGCGCAGACTCCTGCCCCTGCCACCCGTGTGGCTGGCTGCCCATTTCCCTCTGTCCCCAGAAGCGGACTGGCACGGCTGAGTCTCTGCCCATCTGATAGCCATTGAGAGCCGGCTTGCTCGGCATGTGCTCCTTTGGTCTGCGCAGTGGGCCCTGGGCCTGGCTGGCACCTGCGGTCCTGGAGCTCGCTGTGCCGGCCTCCACATCTTCCTGCGGGGCTGTCCCCCTCCTGGTTGCCCTGGGGGATGGGACTGTCATCTGTTTCTCCCTGTCTGGGCCAGTCACTCACTTTGCTCATGGTGTCCTGTAATGCTGGGGTTCTAAGTTCTGGTCCCGCCAGATTGTCCCTCCTGCTTCTTGCTGGGGGACGCCCCCATCCTCCCTGGCTTAGTGACCACCTGGCCCTGGGGGTGGGGGGAGGCTGGGTCTCTGTCTCACGCCTGTGACGCCCTTCCATCAGGCTGCCTAGGCTGAGTCCGCGGCGCCACGCCCATGGGGAGCCCCCACCCGGGACTGCTCACAACACTCCTCCTCGCCGGCCTGGCCCCACCTGTCACCTGTCAGCCTGGGATCATCAGGGCCCAGCAGGGAAGGCCACTGTCCCGCTCCCCTGCCCTCCCCTTGCACAGGCTTCAGCGCCCCTCCAGGTGCTGCCAGGGACCCGGCTCGTGCTTCCTGATGGATTTTGGGGTCCCTCATCCTGCTCCTGAGAACCCACTGTTTTGCGTCCTTCTTGTCCTTGCTGTGGCTCTGCCGCCACCTCCCCCGTTGTCCTGGCTGCTTTGGGGCCCAGCCGAGCCTGCCCATTCAGAGAAGCGGCTGCCCGGGAGCCACCTGGATCCAGATCTAGGCACGGTTCCTGTGCTTTGAGGTCAGCCTGGCCCTGGCCCGTCTGCACACTAGGCTCCTGGGAAGGCGTCCAGGCAACACTAGGCTCAGCCAATAGGAAGCTGTCCTTGAGCCAAGTGCTGGGCCACTTGACAGATGCCACCGAACCCCAGGGACTTTGTGGGTGCCCACTCCCCTAGTACCTTCCAAGTATGATGTGGGTCCGCCGCCTCTGCCTGACCGTTGGCCTGCCAAGCCCGAGGAGGGCCCATGGAGGATGTGGGGCAGGGCGAGAAGGGGAAGAGGAGGACGGAGGGGGGCAAGGGAAGGAGGGGTAGTCGGTCCTCCGGAGTCTCTACTCCTTGGGCTCTGCGGCTAGCCGTCATAACTGCGGGGCTGGTGGATGCCCTGGGACACATGCCCACGTCTGGACTCGAGCCAGGGCCCCGTGGCTCTCAGTGACCCACTGTAGGGTCTTCTTTCCCCTGGGACTGACCTGCACTCAGTCTCGGCATTCCTGGAGGCCTTTGGTGCATGGTGCTGAGGGGACCACAACCTTTGGGGTCATCCTTGGCTTTCCTGTTGGGGTGTGGGTTGACGAGGCCACTAGGCGCCGAAGCCTCAGCCAGGAGGGGATTCAAAAGCCTTCCTGAGAGTAGCTGAGGCTTGGCCACCTGGGGCTGAGTCTGGGCACAACCCTAGAAATGCTGTTCCACCCTCGTCCGGAACTGCCTGAGGCTCCCCCTGGGTGGGAGGGCTGCAGACAGCCGTGGGTGAAGGCTGAGACACCAGGGTCCACCCAGCCACCTGAAGGCTGACAGGTGGCGGGCACAGCACAGCCCCACGTGCTGACCCGAGGCTCCATATGGTCCCTCGGTTTCCTTATGTGGGGCCTTGGGGCCTGCTGGCTCTTGGGGCTGGCTCAGGGGTGGTTCCGGTGCCCGAATCAGGCTTAGTGCCCCAAGCCCGTGGGTCCCCAGGGAGGCCGTGATCTCTGAGGGCCCAGCTGGGACTTCCCTGGTGGATTGGAGCCATGGCCAGAGCCCCCTGGTGGAGTCCGGTGGGGCTGGGCACAGGGCTTCCCTCCAAGCGTCCCTGTGCCCTGGGACCCCCTGAGGTGGGCCGCGGGTGCCGTCCCTCTGCAGAGAGGCGAGGTCCCATTGTGGCCACTGCTCTTCTGTTCCCTTTTCCTTCGGGCTCCCTCCCTCCCTGTGCTCCGGGAAACCTGGTGCCCGAGGCCTCTCCTCCCAGGCCGAGGCATACATCGGTCCCACTGTCAAGGACAGGGACAAACCCGGTCACGTTTTCATCTCCTAAAAGCCAGCGAACCTAGGTTGCAGCACGTTCTGGTGTCATTCGGGACCATCAGCCGGTCGCTCAGGCTTTCCACAGGCCATGGGGGCTGGGCCCCAGGGAGCCGTGGGAGGCCCGCAGGGTGGGTGCCCTCTGATGTGGAGGGGCTCGCCCACGACCGTCACCCCCCCCCCGCCCAGCGTCACGGGCCCGCTGTCCCCCAGGTCACCAACGAGATCACGCCGGTGCTGTCGTACTCGTACCTGGCGGTGCTGGTGCCGGTGTTCCTGCTGACCGACTACCTGCGCTACACGCCGGTGCTGGTGCTGCAGAGCGCGAGCTTCGTGGCGGCCTGGCTGCTGCTGCTGTTGGGCCGCTCGGTGCTGCACATGCAGCTCATGGAGCTGTGCTACAGCGTCACCATGGCGGCGCGCATCGCCTACTCCTCCTACATCTTCTCGCTCGTGCGGCCCGCGCGCTACCAGCGCATGGCCGGCTACTCCCGCTCCGCCGCGCTGCTCGGCGTCTTCACCAGCTCGGTGCTGGGCCAGCTGCTGGTCTCGGCGGCCGGCGTGCCCTTCTCCACGCTCAACTACGCGTCGCTCGGCCTCCTGTGCTGCAGCCTGCTGCTCGCGCTCTTCCTGCGGCGGCCGCGGCGCAGCCTCTTCTTCAACCGCGACGCCGCCGCGCGCCGCGGGGCCGCCGCCTCCGAGCTGGCCCGCATGAACCCGGCCGCGGCGCGGGGCGCCTGGCGGGACTGGACGCCGGCGCGCGTGCTCCGGGAGCTGGGGGCCACCGCGCACTCGCCGCAGCTGCGCCTCTGGTCCCTCTGGTGGGTTTTCAACTCGGCCGCCTACTACCTGATCGTCTACTACGTGCACATCCTGTGGAACGTGGTCCACCCCACGGCGGACAGCGCCTCGGTCTACAACGGCGGCGCAGATGCCGCGTCCACGCTGCTCGGTAGGCCCGCGGCCCCGCCCTCCCCGTGACCCCGCACAGCCCCGCCCCCCCGCGGCGGTGACCTGTCCTGTCCCCGCAGGAGCCATCACCTCCTTCTCCGCGGGCTTTGTGAAGATCCGCTGGGCGCTGTGGGCCAAGCTGGTCATCGCCGGCGTGACGGCGGCGCAGGCGGCGCTGGTGTTCCTCATGTACAGCACCAGCAACATCTGGCTGTGCTACCTGGCCTTCGTGCTCTTCCGCGGCGCCTACCAGTTCCTGGTGCCCATCGCCACGTGAGTTGACCCGAGTGCGGGGCTCTTAGGACGATGTCTGGGCGGCCACTGACGTGCCAGAGCTCAGAGCGGGCAGTGGTGGGCAGCTGGGAGTGGACAAAACGTCTGCGTCTATGAAGAGGCGTCTTTTCTGGAATGTTCCGCATGGAGCAGAAGGGGCGTGTGCAGGCAGTGCTGAGCTTGCTCAGTGGTGTGCACTCGCTCTTGTCCGGGGCAGCAGTGAACTGGGCTTTCGCAGTCGGGCCCAGTCGTCCCGTTGTCCACAGCACGGCCTGTCTTGGCTTCCGTGACCCTGAGCTTGATGCAGAGCCTGGTCCCCGTGCTGTCCCCTCTGTTACTCCCACGGAGGCTACTTGCTGGCCACGGTCACCAGCCATTGTGAAGCCGTTCTTGCCAGCTCCCGTCCCTGTTTTCGAGGCCCCAAGTCCTACTGTGGGCCCGTCTCTGGTGCACAAGGCCTTTCCCGTCCCTACCCACCACAGGGCAGTGACACACAGCCAGGGAGTGACCAGGTAGCCCCGCTCGCCCTCTGCCGAGGGCTCTCCTGGTGCCCTAGCATTTCTCACACCCCTGGGGACTCCCTTCTCTCTGCCTAGGGATGTCCCCAGAGCTGCCCTTCTGCCCACTTCTGCTTTCCAAACCCTTCTCCACCCCGCATCCTGCTCTCCGCCAAGACCCTGGTGTGCTTGAACTGACCCTTTCCCGGAGCTGATGCCTCGCACCCAATCACACGTGTGGCTTGCACCCAGCGGGTGGGCCTGGCTCTGCTACCAGCTGCCCTTCTCTTGACCCTGGTTCCCTGCTGGGCCTCACTCCTCAGGGCAGGGTGGGGGACCCTCCTGGTCACCCCGAGTTAGAACGTCTGTCCCCACTGGTTCTTGCGCTCAGGCGGCGTCCCCAGCTCCTGGCACGGTGGGGCCACTGACTCTGCGCTCCCCGTGGCCAGGCCCCAGTCTTCCCTGCTTCCCGGCACAGCTCCCCCTCTCTTAGCGGGCAGATGTCCCGGAAGCACCTCCTGGGCACGCTCCCACTTGGAAAGGGCTCTAGGTCATCTCGCACTGCCATCCACTTCTTTATCTCTGCTGCTGGAATGTCTTTGCTGGTTGTAGAAACCGCGGAAGAGGTCAGGTCCGGCATAGGTAGGTGTGGGGGAGAGAGCGGGTGCCGCCGCCGCCTCCTACCCGAAGCCTGGCTGCTGGCGCTCGGGTGTCTGGCCTGACGTGGTTCGGAGCTCGGCCCTCGGCCTCTGGCCCTGCCTGCCCGGCTGCCCACGTCCGCCGACATCCTCAGGCTCTTGCCAGTGCCGAGCAGCCAGGCCCCAGTTGGCGGGGGTGACGCGCATGGTGTTTTCCTGTGACAGCCCTGAGGTCAGCACCCTCTTGCCTACTTATGGGCCAAGCTGGTCATCGCAGGTGTGACACGTTTCTTTCTCTGCATTGGGATGGTGGCCACAGGGGTCCCAGGAGGGGGCTGGCCGGGCAGAGTGCAGGCTTTGGAAAGGAGGTGTTGGCAGATAGCGGGCAAGCATGTGGTGGGCCTGTGGGCGTGCGGGCCTGATGGCCTTCCTGTAGGGACAACGTGGTTGGTCCCTCCCTGCTGTCAGTGGCCTGTTCGTTTCTGGTCTCTTCTGCTGGGTTCTCTGCTGCGCTTGTGTCAACCGAGTACGGGAGGAGCCTCCCGCTGTGTGCCGCTGGCGTGGCTCCGTTTGCTCCCACTTGGGTTCGTGGAGGCCGTGGGGGACACGCAGAGTGGTGGCGTGGCCTTCTGCCATGGCGGGCACGTGGCCCAGCGTGGGCTCCCTCCAGTCCTCCGCCTGAAGCGCTCTTTCTCTTGCCCCGCGCGCTGTCACGCTGCTGCTCATCTGGGCCCGGCGGGTCTGTCGTGCGCCACCCCTGACCCAGCACGGTGGCGCCGCTCGCCCTTGGTCATACTCTTGAAAGGCTTCTCGGGTGTGTCTGCGTCGTCGCTTTTCAGAGCTCTAGAGTGTCTCCTGTCCAGTCACTTGTTTCTGGAGGTTTTTCTGCAGCGGATCGGGAGGTGAGCACAAGTTTGTTCTCCTGCCTTCCTTGCTTGCGTTACTGCCGTGTCCCTAACTTACCACGTCTTCAACGGCGAACGACCGCGCTTCCCCAGATGCTCTGCCCGCTCTCATGAGGATGACGGTCTCTGCCCCAGAATTACCGGGAGACGTTCGAACATCGTCCTGGGGCACACTTGTCTTCGGTCTTGGATGCACGGAGCCGGATCTCGTTCCCGGGCGCGGGGGTGGACGGCTGCCGGCTGGACTTGCCGAGTCCCTTCGAACTGTGGGCGCCTCTCGTTCCCCCAGAGTCTGACTTCGGCCGCTTTCCCGTTCAGTTTTCAGATCGCGTCTTCTCTCTCTAAAGAGCTCTGTGCGCTGGTTTTCGGAGTGAATACATTCCTTGCCACCGTCCTCAAGACCATCATCACCCTCATTGTCTCTGACAAGCGGGGTCTGGGCCTCCCAGTCCACTCACAGGTGAGCCCACTTCAGCCTTGCTGCCCTGGGGGACGTGGGTGTCTGGGCAGCGGCATCTCCCACCCCACGGGCCTGGGGCTGCCGGTCTATGTTGGGGGCAGAGGGGTTGTGTGCAGGGTGGGCCGGGCATTTCCGGCCAGACGCACAGACTGGAGTGGAGCAGGGAGGGAAGGGTGGCCAGATGCCCTCTGACCTCTGTGGCCAGCCCAGGTGCTGTCTGTCCTTTTTGGAGGAGCTCTGACCAGCCCCCATCGTCCCCCATGCCGGCTGGTGTCCCAGGAAGGATGGAGGCCTGGCCGTGAGCCCTTCCCTTATGTGGTCCCAGCTCACTGCCCTCATTTGAGAGCTCTGCCCTTGTCAGTGCCTGTCAGACCCGGCCACTGGCTCACGGGCCAGCTCTCTGTCTACCATACGTGTGACATGTGTGGGGGACATGATGTTGGTGCCTGCTGGCCTCTCTCCAGCCCCTTCCCTCGCCTAACTCCGAGCGGGTTCTCGGTGCTTCTGAGAGGAGCTGGAGAGCTCTTGTTCCCGGGAGGTTGAGGGACACTCACATGTGTGACTCCGGGTGGTCTCAGCCAGGGCAGGACCTGTCTGGGCCAGCTGGAATGAGCCACAAGATGGTAACTGGGCCCCTGGACCAGTGCCGTCAGCCAGAGGGGCTTGTGGCCTCCATCTGCCTGGAGCCTGGACACCCCGAGCTTGGAGGGCTCCATAGAGAAGTCCCGATCTCCATCTGAGGGGGCTGAGTGGGCACAGCCTTGGTGACCGCAGAGCTGACTGGGAGGAGGTGCTGGGCAGGACAGACCTCCTCATTTAGAGACGGGCCCGTGGGGTTTGGGTTTGTCCTTGGGGAGTAGGAGATCTGAACCATCTGCCCCTGTCTGCAGGCTTCTGGGGGGCCTCTAGGCTAAGCACTGGGACTGTCCTGCCCACTGGGGACAAGTGCAGCTCACCTGCAGGTCGGCGGGGGGCAGGGGGCTGTGCCCTGTGCCCGGGGGCGGGCAGGTGGGGGCCTCGCCCGGAAGCAGCAGCCTTGGCAGGGGACCACCCTTGGCCCCCAACTTTCCACGGAGCCTGGCCTGGCAGCAGCACCTGGGAGGAGCCCCCACAGGTCGCCTCTGGGCAGCGGGGTTGTTAGTGTGGCTGGACGGAGGCCCATCTCAGTTCCCAGAGGGCTCAGTGGACCCAGCCACACGGCAGCCCCGACCCCAGGTCGCTACCCCTGTTGATGGCCCTGTTCAGCCTGGGGGGCCCAAGGGCAGTGTGCCCAGAGGCCGGGCCGTGCTCCGGGGCCCACGTTTGGAAGAGGGGCTGGGGGTTCTTCCCCAGGGGCTGGGCCTTCCCATGTAGTAGGTCCCGCTATGTCGGGTCAAGTGCAGAGAAAAATACATTGGATTTTCTCTGGCTGGTCTCATTTCCCAGTTAAAAAATAAATGTAAACGTGGGGTGGTTAGTTCGTGATCAGAAACGCTGACGGGAGCCGCAGGGAAATCCCCACTCACATTCCCTGTTCACGGCTGGGGGGTCCCTTCATGTCATCCCATGTGTTCTTCACCGTAAAATAGAACAGCAAAAATGGGCATGTTTGGGAGCAACAGAGAATGACAATTCAGGACAAGCCACAGCAAAACAACAGGCGGGCCTGACCCATCCAGAAGAGGGACGTATTTTGTGCGGAAGGAGGAGGAAGTTGGGAGGTTGTTCTGAACCAGCGTCCGCTGCAGAAACCAAGGGTTCAGGCTGACGGCGGTTTCTCAGTTTCTCCTTAGCCGGGCGGCGGGGGTGGCTGGCTTCTTGCAGGAGATCCCGAGAACTTCGCGGCTGGGGCCGTCCCTGGTGATTGTCTCCTGCGGGGGTGGCTCTGTGGGGTCCGAGGTCGGCCATGCTTCCTGGAACTGCGGGGAGCGCCAGGGCCCCTGCCAGCCTCCAGACTCCGCTTGGGGGCGGCTCACCTTCAGCGACTCTCGGTGTTGAGAGGGACTCAGCGTTCAGGCTGGATGGATACTGGTGGGACCCGGGGCACAGCAGGTGGGGCGCTGGCCTGGGTTTGCTTGTTTTTTAAGTTAGACTTTATGTTTGGATAACCATACGTTCCGATGCAGCGTGAGAGGTAACGCAGACCCATGTGCCTGTTCCCACTGTCCCCACCGGTCATGCCCTGCGGGGTGGTGTCCCTCTGGGGGACTGACCTTACACAGGCGAGAGCAAGAACGCCCCTGCCCTTCAGGGCCCTGCAGTGGCCGTTCCTGGCCACAGCCCTGACCCCAACCCTACTACAGTCCCTCCACCGTTTCTGTATCTTCTTTCAAGAGTGTCACTTAGGTGGAATCGTGGTCTGTTACCTGTGGGTTGGGCTTTCTCGCTCAGCCCACCCCGCGCCCCCAGGATCCACATGGGTCACCATGTGCTCGTGTGTATGTGTGGCCGTCCATCTGTTGCCGCCCTCCACTGGGTGGTGGACACGGCGTGTGTGCTTGGTCCCCGTAAAGGACTCTGGGCTCTTCCTGGTTGTTGGCTGTTGTGGACACAGGAGCCTTGAGCACTGAGCGCAGGCTGTGGCTCGTCTGGGTGCGTGCGCGGCAGAGCCGTGGCCGACTCCTGGGGACTGCTCTGCTTTGCCTTCCTGCCGGCAGGTACGGGGCGGCAGGGAGAGCCCGTGCCCCCAAATCCTTCCGGGGTCATCCCTGGTTTTTACTGAGCATCTGACTGGCTGGGGTGGTGCCTGTTTGTGGTCCCGATCACGTGTCCCCAATGTCGCAAGCCGGGCTCTGCCCTCGTGCGCCCCCCGCACGTCGTCTGGCGAGACCACCCTCCGCTCTGCTTCTGCTTTCCCACCTGGGGCGGCTTGTTTTCACTCCTGGGGTTTGAGTGTTGTCTGTCTGTTGGAGGAACTAGTCCTTTGGGTGATTTACACCAGACCCTTCAGCAACACGGTGTGGACTACGTGGGTCCATGTAGACGTAGACTTTTTCAGCAGACCTAGTGCTCGCGACAGGTGTGTTTTCCTGACGATTTTCCGTAGCGCTGTCTGCAGCTGACCGTATTGCGGGAGCATGATCTGGGGCGCACACGTCCGTGCACAGGGTGTCAGCCATGTCACTGGTAGAGCTGCCGGTCAGCGGCAGGTGACCAGCGGTCAGTCGGACGTTCCCTGCGGCACCTCTAAGCCCTGCGTTCTCGGGGTCGGCCGTGTCTGGTTCGCAGCCGCACGGCGGCTGTGGCTCGTCTTTCTGCCCTGACACGTTGTGCAGAGCAGAACGTCTTCATTTTGGCGAGGTCTGATTCATCTGTTTCTTCCGTTACGGATCTGAGTTTTGGTGCCAAGTGTAAGAACTTTTGGCATAACCCGGGCTCTGGAAGTTTCCCCCGGTATCTTTTCTAAAGTTTTAAAGACTGGCCCGGTCGGAAGAGCATGTGAACTCTTGACCCGGGGGCTGTGAACGTGAGCCCCACGTTGGCTGTAGAGAGTAGTGAAATACATACGTCAGCCTGAAGAAGAAAGACGTAAACGGGGCAGCTGGGCGGCTCAGTGGGTTAAGCGTCCACCTCTTGGTTTCGCTCTGGTCATGTTCTCAGCGTCGTGAGCTCGAGTCCCGCCTTGGGCTCTGCGCTGGGTGTGGGGTCTGCTTAAGATTCTCCCCCCCCCCCCCCCCCCCCCAACCAACAAAATACAAAAAGCAAAGGGAACAACGTTCTGTAGTTGCGCATGCAAGTTTGTGAGCCGTCCTGAGTTACGTGCGTGTGGGGCGTGAGGGTTCCGTCAAGGCGGCTCGTCTGCCCACGTCCCGCCACGCCAGGGCTCTCGTCGAAGAGACGCTCTTCTCCGCGCCTGGGTCAGGATCCAGTGGTGCGTGTCTGCGCGAGTCCGCCTGTGGCTTCTCTGTGTCCCTGCGCTCTGCTCCCACCCTTCCCCCGCAGCCTCCCGCTCTCTGGCCACGTGGGACGCTCTGAAACGGGGCAGACTGATTCCTCCAGCTTTGACACGTTTCTTCAGAATCGTTTTAGCTGTTACAGCATCTTTGCCTTTCCCTGCAAATTTTGGAGTCGTTCCGTCGACTGGTCTCGACCTGGCTGGTCTCGTGAGTGTTGCGCTGAGTCATTTCTGGGAGACGGAAAACCTCGGCTCTGTCGAGCCTGCCGTCTGCGGACAGGTGCACTCTCCATTTAGTTAGAACTTTCTGGGTTTCTTTCAGCGCTGGTGGCTCTCGGCATATGTCGCACCTGCTGTGTTAGATTTGTACCTGAGTATTTCGTCGTTTTCTTCAGCAGTCGTGAGGGATACTGTATTTTTAATTTTAGGGTCTGCATGTGCTGCTGGGGCTGCCGTATCAGAACAACAGAGGGCCGGCGGCTCACGCAGACTTTTTCTCGCAGTCCTGGAATCTAGAAGTCCGAGACCACGGTGTGAGCAGGGCCGGCTCCTCCTGGGCAGCCCACTGGTGCGCAGATGTCGCCTTCTGCGTCCTCATGTGGCCTTTTCTCTGTGTGTGTGCACGTCTGTGTCTCTCTCCTCAGGACACCAGCCCTGTTGGAATAGGGCCCACGGTTAGGACCCTCTTTGACCTTAACCACCTCCTTGAAGGCCTTGTCCCAGATACGGTCGCACTGGGAGTGAGGCTCTCACAGGCGAACTTTGAGCAGGACACAGTTCAGTTCGTAGCAGTATCTGTGTGTCGTGAATACCCAGAAATAAAGTTGGTGCTCGAATGTTGGTCTTTCACAGTCTCGCTGAGGTCATTTATTGGTTCAGGGGGGTTTGTTGTCCCTCTATTTTTAATTTTCTTGTCTTGCCTTCCTGAAGCTGGCTTGAACTTTCTCTCTCTGTCTCTTTTTTAAATTTATTTGACAGACAGAGATCACAAGCAGGCAGAGAGGCAGGCAGAGAGAGAGACGGAAGCAGACTCCCCGCCAAGCAGAGAGCCTGATGTGGGGCTCGATCCCAGAATCCTGGGACCACGATCCAAGCCGAAGTCAGAGGCTTAACCCACTGAGCCACCCAGGTGCCCCTCGAACTTTCTCTTTATCATTTCCTTCTACTTGCTTTATATTTGTGTTGTTCATGTTTTTTAGGTTCATGAGATGAGAGCTTCGATCAATGATGAAACTTCCTTTGTGGTGTTTGCGTTTTCAGTGCTATGCGTTTCCCTCCCGGTGCTGCTGCAGCTGCACCCGCACGTTGGTGTGTTGCATTTTCATTTTTGTCCATTCCAATGTATTTTCTGATCGCTCTTGAGACTTTCTCTGACCTATAATTATTTCAAAGAGTTTTGTTTAGTTTCCAGGTGTTTGGAGATTTTCCCATATCTCTTTGTTGCTGATTTCTGTTTTCATTCTATTTTGTGATCGGAGAATACAGTGTGTCTGTCTTTTAAGTTGATTGAGGTTTGTTTAATGGCCCAGGACGTGGTCTGTCTTGTTAGGTGTTCTGTGGACCCTCGGAAGGGTGTGATTTCTGCTTTTGTTGGATAGAGCGTTTTTAGATTCCTGTCAGGCAGGTCCTGTTGTTGAGGACGATGACTTGTTCTCCATTCTTGTGACTTTTGTCTCGTCCCAATGTTGAGAGAGGGGTGTTGGCATCTCTGTCCTCAGCTGTGGGCTTGGCTGTCTGTCCTTTTGGTTCCGTCGCGTTTTCGCAGCACGTCCGTAGCTCTTCTGTTTGTTGTGTGCGCCTTGGGAATGGCTGTGTGTCTTGGTGGATTGAGCTTTGACCATTATGGAATGGAATGTCCTTCTCTGCCTCTGGTCATTTCTTTTCTCTGAAGTCTACTCTGCCTGCCAGCAACACCACCCGTTTTCCTGTAACTAATGTTTGCACGATACATTCTTTCCTGCCCCTTTACCCGTTACCCGACTGTATCGTTGCATTTGAAATGAGTGTCCCGCAGATCGCAGACGGTTGAGTGGTGTTCTTCCATCTCTGCCTTCGTAAGTGGCCGGTTTAGACCATTTATAGTTAGTGTAACATCAGAGTGCTGGAGTTGATGCTGCCGTACCGCTTTTCTGTTCTTCTCTCCGCTTTTTATTTTCTGTGCCTTCCTGTGGCGTGTTTGCATGTTCTTTAGAATTTCATTTTGATTTATCTGTTGTGTTTTTTCAGTATATCTCTTAGTACGGCTTTTTTGATGGTGGCTTTTTGGGTTAAATGAGCAGTTTGAGTGAAGTATAGAAATCTTGCCTCCTACCATGTCATTCTGTCTCCCGCTGTTAATAGTATAGTGTCTTGACTGTTTCCTCCGTGTACCAGTACAGCCACATGAGACCGGGTTCTGACTTCTGCTTTAACTGTCCAACATTTAGAAGATTCTAGAGCAGAAGGAAGAACTTCCGTTTACCCGTGATTTGGCTCACCGTGTTCTTTCTCTTTCCTTTTGGTCCAGGGTTTCTTTATGATTTCTGTTTAGAGCATCCCCTTTAAGCCATTCTTTTCAGGTGGGTTGACAGACTTCTCTCTTAGTTTTTCCTTCTTCCAGGAGCGTCTTGATTTCATTTCTAAAGATTATGACTGGATGTAGGCCTCTACGTTGATAGCTTTTTAACTTTGAAAATGGGTTCCCTTCCTTGTGGTTTTCATGGCTTCTGATGAAAAATCCACTGTTTTCCCCTTAAAGTGTCACCTTTTTTCTGGCTGCTTTCATGAGTTTTTACTTTTTCTTTGCCTTTCGTTTTCAGAAGTTTAAATACGGTATGCTGGTCTGGTTTTCTTTGGGTCTGTCCTGTTCGTGGTTCCCTCAGTGTCTCAGATCTGTAGGTTTATGTCTCTTATCAGCTCTGGGGAGTCGTCAACCATAATTCCGTCAAGTACTTCGCCAGCCCCATCCTCTTTCCTTTTGTGGGACTCTCATGGCACAGCATCGTGTCTTTTGTTATAAAGGGAATAAGATCTGCTTGTGACTCTTTGGTCTGTTTTCTTGCTACTCAGAGTTTGTGACTTCTGTTGTCCCATCTTCCTGTTCACGGAGTGTTTTCTCTGTTCCATATGCTCTGCTGCAGAGGCCATTCTTTGAGTTTTTAGTTTGGTTATGGCATTTTTAGTTCTATCTTTTCTTGAATGTTTCTGTCTGTTCCTGCTGTGTTACTGCTTGTTGAAGCATTTTCATCTTGGCTGCCTTAAAAGTCTCTGATGACATTACTGTCCGCGTCATCTCAGCATCATCTGTTGACTGTATTTATTCAGTCAGAGGCCTTTGTGGTTCTAAATCTGCTGGGTGAGTGACAGAAAACTGGGCATTTTGGATCTTAGGAGATCTGGATCTTACTGAAACCCTCCAGTGTAACTGGCTTCTCCCGACACCGCTCTCACAGACGAAGTTGGGAACGTGGGCTTGTCACAGCCGGGTAACAGGCTCCCCAACAGCTCTCCTGACCTAGGGGTGGATGGGGGCCTCCTCCTTACTGCTGGGTGGGGATGGGAGTTCTGGCTCCCCACCTGGCCTCCAGCCTCCCGCACTTAGGAGGTGCATGGGGGCCTTGAATGGCTTCCCACGTGGCCTTAGGGGACACATCAGGGTTGGGGTGTTCTTGCTGTTGCTGAGTGATGGTGAGAGTTCTCACTGCACGCACAGAGTTGGGGGCTGTCACAACGTGGGCAGAGTGAAAGTCTAGGCTTTCTGTGTGGTCTCTGCTGGGGTGAGCTTTCCAGCTCCCTGCCATGCCTTGACCACCACCACCTGGTTAGAGTCTGGCTGGTGAGGGTGGGTCTGGTTAGAGTCTGGGCAGTGAGGCTAGGTCTTGCTGTAGCCAGGGGCTCCCCTCTGTCAGGTCCCTGTCCTGGGTGCCCCTCTCCTGGTCCTTTGGTTACAAAGAACAGCTTTTCCTTTATCAACTGGCTTTTCTGGATTACTGGTTTCTTTAGATCTAAAAATAAACCCAGGGCAAAGTTAAAGCTCAGGGGACACATGTCTGCGTCCTCGGCTGCAGCGGCCTGACTGGTGAACCGCCCTCTACCGCCCGGAGTCTCCCGCTCCTGTCTGTTCTGCGTGTGGCGTCCAGGCTTCTAGCCGTAGTCGGGGGAGGAGCAGGGAGACACTGAGCATCACCCCCCGGAAGCAACGTCCTTGAGGGCTAGTTCCCAGGGTCGGTGTGAGGATGAGCTTTCCCGAAGGCATCGGAGAGGGGCGTGCCAGGAGCGGAGCGCCGCGGCCTTGGGTGGGACTCATGCCTGGTCTGGCCCAGGGATGCAGAGATCGTCCAGCACTGTCCAGCCTGGCGGTCTCTAAAGCAGCTGGGACGTGTGCGGCTGCACCTGTCCCCTGGGCGGGAACCAGCCTTGTGCTCGGGAATGCCTGGGTTTGGGGCTGTGCAGCTGGGCCTCTGGTGCCTCGGGCTGCGTGTTCTCGACCGGGCTCTGCACACACAGATGTCCTCAAGCCCTCGGCCGCTGTGGAAACTTGACCCACAGAGGGAAGCACATGTCCCAAAGTGAGCAGAGTGCCTTGGGTGATCACAGAGGCCTCACCGTAAAGGACGTGTGCAGGGTTCTGTGGGAAAGTGGCGGAAGACCCTGGGGCTACGCTGGACTGTGGCCTGGAGGGAAGCAGAGAGCGGGCTTGCCCCCCGTGGGACTGCCCCAGGGCCGTCCCCTGACCCCTGAGCACCCGTCCCCGCCCCCTGCAGTGTTCCCGTGGCCTCTGCAAGAGGAGGGAGAGCCAGGAAGGCCTGCAGGGTCCCCGCCCCACTGTGCCCTGCTCCTGCCCCTCTGCAGGGCTGAGCTCACCCCTCCCACCCCACCCCTGCCCCTCTCTCTGCCGCAGTTTTTCATCTACTTCGTGTACTTCGTGGTGCTGTTTGGCGTCTACCTCTTGGGGGCCTTGGTGGTGGTCCTGCGGCATTTCCGGGACGGCCGCCGTGCGCCCCAGCCCCCAGCGCTGAGCCCCGTGGAGGAGAAGGCCATGCAGCCGCTGGCCGCCCAGGAGCAGAGCCTGCAGCCCGAGGCCAAAGCCTGACCTCCGGGCCCAGAGGCCACCGCCAGGATCATCCACTTCCGGGGGCCTTGGCGTTTTGGGACAGATGCCCCGTCCACGTCCCCGCCCCTCGGTGTCAGCGATCCAGGTGTCCGGCCTCAGTTACATTCCAGCGTTCAGACTGTGGAACCAGTGACCAGCGGGGACCCTCCACGGCACCTCCCTGTGCCCTGCGCCCTGCGCCCGGGGGCTACCTGCCTCAGGAGGGGCCATGGCTTGTCTTGCCGTGGCCCGAGGGTGGTGCCCCTCTGCCCTGCTTGGCACTCTGGTCCTGTCCCCTCGCCTGCTGGGACACTCAGGCAGCTCCTGGGACGCTGCAGGCTGGGCTGTCCCCACCCACATGTGGTGGGCAGTGGGGTTCACGTGCCTCCTCATCGTCACCCCCCAACCTGGGAGGCGGGCTCTGCTTGTCCCTGGGGACCCTTGACTGGGTTGGGGACTCGGCCCGCAGCATGAGGCTGGGAGCCTGACGTCCGGGCCCCGTTTTTCAGGTACCTGCCTTAGTGCTCTTCCTTTTTTAAAAAAATTAACCTGAACGAGAAACCTTGGTGGGCTCTTGTGTCCTGTGGGGAAGCTGGACATTGGCCAGCAGGCCCCTGTCAGGTGGACATGGGGTCGCTGACCCAGACCCCACTTCTCCCCAGGCCTCCAGTGGCCTGCCCGTCCCCAAAGTGGGTTAAAACTGACCTACCTCAGCAGTGGCTGCGGGCAGTGTGGGGCTGCTCGCCTGCCAGCCGAGATGGGACCCGCCCGGAGGGCGCCCCTCAGGGTCTCTCAGCGCGTTGTGTCCCTTCCAAGATGCAAGACTGTCTACTCTCCCTGAAGGGGATTAGACCACAAGCCCCAAATGTGGGGGGTGCTCCTGATTCTCTCCTAGCCTAGCGGGGGCCGGGGTGGAAGGAGGTGGTCAGGAGGCCAAGGAGGAGCCCCCGGCCGGTCCCCTACCCCAGGCCGATAGGTCCCCCAGCTGAGCGCAGCCCTTCCCACAGCTCATGGGGTCTGGCCCAGCACATGGGGTCTGGCCCCATGCACGGGGTCGGGCATCTATGCATACTTGCCCCATGAACCCTGTGGGGCGGGGGCAGAGGACTCGGGGGAAGGGGCTGTGTCTCACCTCTGGTCACTGAGCACATGACGCAGGGCTCTGGCCCGGGGACTCCCGGCCCAGAGAACCCTCCCATCAGTGCCCCCCCCCCCCCCCGCCCCGACCCCCCCCCCCCCCCCCCCCCCCCCCCCCAGTGGCCTGGACTCTCAGCTGGTCCCACGCGCTACAGCGGCCATGGGGCGAGCACGTGTGCGGGGTGCAGACCAGCTCCACGGCCTTGGAGGCAGAGCCCGTGACCACACGACCACGGTGTCCGGACCCGCTGCTGTGGCCCACAGGCTGCAGAGCTGAGCAGCTGGGTCCTCGCCCGCCGTGCAGCCTGCACAGCCCCAGTGGAGGAGGGACCCGTGCCGTCCCCTGCGACGCTCAGGTGCACCTCCCAATGTCCCCTTCGCTGCAGCCCCTCTCGCACGGGGCTCAGCGAGGCAGGTCCCGTGGAGCCGTGTCCTGGCTGGGCGCAGGCGTGGCTGTCCTATTTGCCTCCCGATTTTTTTCTTTTAAGATTGTATTTATTTTGAGAGAGCACGAGCAGGGTTGGTGCTGTGGGGGTGGTGGTGTGAACAGAGGGGCAGCAGCAGACGCCCCGCAGAGCAGAGAGCCGGACATGATGCAGGGTTCGGTCCCAGGACCCCGAGATCATGACCTGAGCTGAAGGCAGATGATTGTTGAACTCCGCGTCCTGCAGAGACGAACCTGGAATCTTGGCCCTGAGCCAGCAGGCTGGGGTTCCAGCTGCAGACGAGGGGACGGGGAGTGGGTGTGGGCCTGGTTGGGCTCCAGGAGGTGAAGCCAGGCCAACTTCTGCTTTGGGAAGCCTTGTCCCAGGAAAGGAGCACTGGGCATGGGGTGGCCCCCCGATGGGACGCTACTGTCCCTGGGTTGTGGGCCCTCCCAAAACTCAGCATGGGGGCGTATGGCTGGCTGAGTCATTAGAGCTCCTGATCCCAGGGTCATGAGTTTTGGCCCCACCTTGGGGGTGGAGATGGCTTAAAAGAAACTTCTTGAAGGTGCTGGCTGGGCCAAGCTCTACACTGGGTGTGATCTCATGGGTCTTGTGGGCAACTGGGGTGGCACGGAGAGCAAAATTGCCCTGGCCTGGGGGTGGCCGGGGCGAGGTGGCCCCACCCTGTGCCCATGGCCTGAGCCGCCCCAGCAGCTCACAGCTGGGGAGGGAGGGCCTGTTACAGCGCTGCAGCCCCTGGGGTGGCCCAGAGAGGGAGGGAGGCCTCCAGGAGCCAAGTCAGCACCTGTGGGGGCCACGGAGGGCCCCGGGGGCATGCACCCCTGTAGTAAGTTCCCTTGCCGGGGAAAGGGTCTACCCCCGGTCTAACTGGGCCGAGATGGCGGGGACAGGGCCCTGCGTGAGGAGGGTGGGCGGGAGAGAGTCCTGGCACCACGCTTCGTTTTAAACTTTTTAAAAAATACACTCTTTGGCTTCCTTTTATTTCTTGAGGGTTACATTACACGTGAGCCGTACAAGAAAGTGTCCCAGCCGGGTCCCCACCCGGGGGGGAGGGGTGCTCTTGCCTGGTGCTTCTCCTGCCTCCTGGCCTCCCAGCGGGCCCTTGGGCCGCCCATCCCGCCCATCCGTCCGGCCCGTCCGTCCTGTCCGTCCGAGCCGGCGGAGCCCCTACTTGGAGGAGGAGGTCATGAAGCTGTTCTCAATGCAGAGCACGATGAAGGCGTGGTGGCAGCTCGCGGCCTTCTGCTCCAGCAGCCGGCCGGCCAGCAGGGAGGACGCCTGGCCCGTGACGCCTGCAGTCTCTGTCCGCCATGTCTCACAGTAGCTGTCGGTCAGCCGGCGCCCGCTGGGGTCTGAGCCGTGCCACACGCTCTTCTGGGGCCTGCAAGACGCCGCAGCCGTCAGCCCCAGACCAGGGCCTGGCTACTCAGGGCAAAGTGGGTGCTTCCCAAAGGTGCCTCATGTTGGCTGGATGAGGGGCCCGTGGGGGGGCGCAGAGCTGGCCGTCCTTGGTCCCTGGGGGTCCACCTCCCAGACCACACCCCTGCCGCCTCTGCTGGGGGGCGCAGCCCGGGGAGCCTACCAGGCCGGGTGCTGCAGGACGTCTCTGCCGTCGAAAGAGAAGATGCGGGCCCCAGGCTTCAGTTGGCCCCCGGAGCCCGAGAACAAGGCCTCCCAGCTGGGGAACAGCTCCTCGTCCTGGGAGGGAAGCGCACTGGGCCTTATTCCCTCCCTGGAGATGTCCTGCCAGAGGCAGGCCGCCTCGCACGGCCCCTCCCCCGCCCGGACCCATCTGGCCCTGAGGAACACACAGTGGTGGACGGAGGCCGAGGCGTGGGGGCCGTCGAGCCCCCCAGGAGCATTTCCAAGCCCGAGCTCCGAGGAGGCTGCACGGGTAGGCCTGGCTCTGCAGCTCAGGGGGGTCCGGCCCCGTGGGAGGCTCCGGGGGGCCCCCAGGGCAGCCGCACTCACCCTGAGGTTGACGATGGGCACGCCGGCGCGGTCGGCTCTGCGCACCACACTGTAGAGGTCCTGCAGCCGCGAGGACAGGAAGGCGCGGAAGGTGCCGGGCAGCCCGGCGGCGCGCGCCTGCTGGAAGCACTGGAAGTCGGCCCCGCGGATGCCGCGCAGGCCACCCGGCTGGGGGCTGTTCAGGGCCACCAGGTGCAGCTGCAGGGGCAGAGCCGCGGGGTCAGCCGCTAGCCGTTTCCCAGGGGCTGAGCGTGCCCCGTGCTGGGGATCCCAGGGTCCAGAGAGGCCACCGCCAGCTGCCACCCCCGCCCAGCACTCTGGCAAGTCCCTGTCCTTTCCTCTACCAGAGACAGCCAGAGGGCAGGTCCCAGGCATAGAGAACCCTCCCGGCAGCCCCGGGAGTCCCTGTGGGCCGAGGGCTGGCATCCACACGGGGTAGCTCACCACCGGCTGGTAGTCCTGGTGGGTGTGGCTGTGGGTGGGCCCGCCGGTGGGGCGAGCCGGCTGGAAGTGCCGGTAGGAGCCATGGTGTGGGGCCCCGGGGTAGGGCTGGGGGTCCGGCAGACGCGGGGGGCTGGCCAGGATGTCATCTGCCCGCCAGGGCCGCACCGTGGAGTGGGTGAGCTCCCGCCGGGGGTATGGGTTGCCCGCAGGGGGCTGCATGGCGGCCACCTCGTTGTCCTGCAGACAGAGAGGCGGTGGCAAGGGCCCGGTGCTCCTGCCTGGACGGGCTGAGTGCCAGCTGCCTGTCTGGGACCCGCTTCGTCTGCACCCTGGCACGTGCGGAGCTGCACGGTGGACCCGCTGGCCCTGGGCTGCCCTGGAGAGTTAGGGCGGGAGTCCGGCCAGCCTGATGCCGGCAGTGGTACCTGGGCCTGTGCTCAAGGTCAGGACCACATCCCTGGCCTTCCAGCCCGTCCTCACCCCTGCACAGACACCCCAGCTCTCCGCCTCCAACCCTGCTCCACCCCACCTCAGAGAGGCGACCTGCACTCCATCCAATCCCCAGCAGCACCGGAGGCCTCCTGATGCACCACAGTCTGCCTTGGCCTGTATCCCAGTGCCCTATTACCGGGTACCTGCGCTAATGATCTAGAGTCACGTAAATCGCCCGTTCCCCGCCGTCACCACCACCTGTCCCCCTGACCGTGAGCTCCACGGGGCCCGGGCCTGCGTGTCCCTGTCTGAAACACTGCCTGGCATACGGGAGGGCCCAGGACCAGGCTGAATGAATGAATGGCTGCGGGAGTGGACTCGCTGGGCTCTGAGTGGACAGACCAGTGGAACCTGGGACACACACCCCCTAAGGCAGCCTCGGCCCCGGGCCGTTGGAGAAGAGCCACAGCAGCAGGAAACCCAAATATCTCGGATCCCCCAGGGGTCCGTCTCTGAGCCCGGCACCCTTGGAGGGTGGTGAGCGTGGCCCGAAGGGAGGCGGCCTCGTGGTCTGT